TGAAACCTGGTATAGCAGCAAAGTTTAGCATAAGAGCTATCACCGGCGCACAAAAACAACAAACTCTAAAACGTACCATTTGTATGAGTGGAATGTTACCGTGGCTTTTATTGTTCAACTGCTAAAACAATTTCTAAAATTGTTCAAGCATTTTTCTATTGTTAAAATGAGAAAGAAAATGTTTTATATTTCAGTTGTATTAATTTTATGAATTCCATAACACAATGCAGAACTCATATTGATACTCGGTGTCAGCAAGTACTCAAATTAAGGTACTTGTACTGATACAGGTTTTGAAAAAAGTGGTATTGGTGCATCCCTAGTAATATTTGCTTTAATCGAGTTTTTCTCATTTCAAGCGAGACATTTCTTGATCATTTTGCTTTGTCCCATTTGCAAATATTGTTTAAAGGCAGTCAAAACTTGAACTAAGATACATATTGCCAATTTTTTTTGGGACTTGTTTCTACCAGTTTTTCACAGCCATATCTAAATGTATTCTCATAGACACACAATTATTTCTGACTCTATTTGCAAACTTGAGATCGCACATTGACCTTAAATGATTGCCCATTTTAGCTTCAGCTCTGCTCATTTTGGGCATGGGACCAGAGAGCCTTATATCACATATCGGTGCTGGCAAGAGTGAATGCGGTGGCTGTCCTGGCTCACAGAGGAGGTTTCTTTTTCACTTAACCAGCAGTTGTGGCTGTGATGTCCTGGCGCTGGCTTTGTGAGTGTGAATGAAGGGTCACTAGACATGTTTGGCGAGGGATTGGAGATATTGAGGGAGATAGCTGCAGTTGTCTCTTCGTCTCACTGTGGCTCGCTTTAACAGATGGGGAGCTATCTTTAGAGCACTTCATAAGACATTGAGACATGAGCACGAGACGGAACTGGCACATAAGAGACTTTCTTCAGAGTAGACCATTTCCTGTATTGTCTTTCCAGTACCATCGTGATATTGATGCTTGAGTAATGGTTTAAATAGTGTTTTGGTGTGTGTGTGTGTGGTTTATTATGTTGGTGATTGTTGCCTCAAGTTTAAGGGCAATATCAAACTAATGGAAGTTTCACCATCTGCTTTGCTGTATGAGTGTAATTGTCACAAAATTGTTATTGGTAAAAAAAAAAAAAAAGACCCAAAACAACTTTTATCTACAGAGCATTTCATTTGCTTCTATAACCCCACTGACAGAAATCAGAAGATTCTTCCAATTATGCATGTGAAAGTGGTTATGAGATTATGATGAATGAAAAAAGAAAACTATAAAAATCTGTTGTTCATTAATCTACGGATGGACAATACAAGGGCATAACTGAGCATGTAAACTCTCAAACAAAATTATACATTATTTACACATGTATAAGTTCACACACCTATACATTATTAAAGTTTTGCCCCGACCCAGGAATTGACTAATAAAGGGGTAGACAATGAATGAATGAATGACCTATACATTATATACTGTACATACAGTTCATCACAAGATCATATACAGCACCACTGTGTTCTTCTTCAAAACACAATCCTCTCACACTGCCATCTTTAAAAACAACATGTAAATGTGTTTTTAAAGATGTTATTATTGAGGTCTGTCCATCACTGGTCGCCAACAGCAGGAGCATCTGGCCCTGTGTCTGTCTCTGAGCTGTCTCTGTGTCTGTCTCTGTACTGTCTCTGTGTCTGTCTCTGTGTCTCTCTCTGTGTTGTCTCTGTGTCTGTCTCTGTACTGTCTCTGTGTCTGTCTCTGTGCTGTCTCTGTGTCTGTCTCTGTGCTGTCTCTGTGTCTGTCTCTGTGCTGTCTCTGTGTCTGTCTCTGTGCTGTCTCTGTGTCTGTCTCTGTGCTGTCTCTGTGTCTGTCTCTGTGCTGTCTCTGTGTCTGTCTCTGTGCTGTCTCTGTGTCTGTCTCTGTGCTGTCTCTGTGTCTGTCTCTGTGTCTGTCTCTGTGCTGTCTCTGTGTCTGTCTCTGTGTCTGTCTCTGTGTCTGTCTCTGTGCTGTCTCTGTGTCTGTCTCTGTGCTGTCTCTGTGTCTGTCTCTGTGTCTGTCTCTGTGCTGTCTCTGTGTCTGTCTCTGTGCTGTCTCTGTGTCTGTCTCTGTGCTGTCTCTGTGTCTGTCTCTGTGTCTGTCTCTGTGCTGTCTCTGTGTCTGTCTCTGTGCTGTCTCTGTGTCTGTCTCTGTGCTGTCTCTGTGTCTGTCTCTGTGCTGTCTCTGTGTCTGTCTCTGTGCTGTCTCTGTGTCTGTCTCTGTGCTGTCTCTGTGTCTGTCTCTGTGCTGTCTCTGTGTCTGTCTCTGTGCTGTCTCTGTGTCTGTCTCTGTGCTGTCTCTGTGTCTGTCTCTGTGCTGTCTCTGTGTCTGTCTCTGTGCTGTCTCTGTGTCTGTCTCTGTGTCTGTCTCTGTGCTGTCTCTGTGTCTGTCTCTGTGTCTGTCTCTGTGTCTGTCTCTGTGCTGTCTCTGTGTCTGTCTCTGTGCTGTCTCTGTGTCTGTCTCTGTGTCTGTCTCTGTGCTGTCTCTCTGTGTCTGTCTCTGTGCTGTCTCTGTGTCTGTCTCTGTGCTGTCTCTGTGTCTGTCTCTGTGTCTGTCTCTGTGCTGTCTCTGTGTCTGTCTCTGTGCTGTCTCTGTGTCTGTCTCTGTGCTGTCTCTGTGTCTGTCTCTGTGCTGTCTCTGTGTCTGTCTCTGTGCTGTCTCTGTGTCTGTCTCTGTGCTGTCTCTGTGTCTGTCTCTGTGCTGTCTCTGTGTCTGTCTCTGTGCTGTCTCTGTGTCTGTCTCTGTGCTGTCTCTGTGTCTGTCTCTGTGCTGTCTCTGTGTCTGTCTCTGTGCTGTCTCTGTGTCTGTCTCTGTGTCTGTCTCTGTGCTGTCTCTGTGTCTGTCTCTGTGTCTGTCTCTGTGTCTGTCTCTGTGCTGTCTCTGTGTCTGTCTCTGTGCTGTCTCTGTGTCTGTCTCTGTGTCTGTCTCTGTGCTGTCTCTGTGTCTGTCTCTGTGCTGTCTCTGTGTCTGTCTCTGTGCTGTCTCTGTGTCTGTCTCTGTGTCTGTCTCTGTGCTGTCTCTGTGTCTGTCTCTGTGCTGTCTCTGTGTCTGTCTCTGTGCTGTCTCTGTGTCTGTCTCTGTGTCTGTCTCTGTGCTGTCTCTGTGTCTGTCTCTGTGCTGTCTCTGTGTCTGTCTCTGTGCTGTCTCTGTGTCTGTCTCTGTACTGTCTCTGTGCTGTCTCTGTGTTATCTTTGTGCTGACTCTGTGCTGTCTCTGTGTCTGTCTCTGTGCTGTCTCTGTGTCTGTCTCTGTGCTGTCTCTGTGTCTGTCTCTGTGCTGTCTCTGTGTCTGTCTCTGTGTCTGTCTCTGTGTCTGTCTCTGTGCTGTCTCTGTGTCTGTCTCTGTGCTGTCTCTGTGTCTGTCTCTGTGCTGTCTCTGTGTCTGTCTCTGTGCTGTCTCTGTGTTATCTTTGTGCTGACTCTGTGCTGTCTCTGTGTCTCTCTCTGTGGTGTCTCTATGCTGCCTCTGTACTGTCTCTGTGTTATCTTTGTGTTATCTCCGTGTTGACTCTGTGCTGACTCTGTGTTGTCTCTGTGGGTTCTTTGTTCTGACTCTGTGTTGTCTATATGTCTGTCGGCCTCTGTTGTGTCAAAATACTGAAGGTTTATTCTGAAGGATGGAGACACAAAAAGGCTGAACACAGATTTGAATAGTCTCAGAACTCTGATAACTGATAATTCTTATTTCATTCATTCATTCGTTTTCTACCCCTTTATAAGTCAATTTCTGGGTCGGGGGAGTGTGTTAAGTGTCTTGCACATGGACACAACGTGGGAGCAGTTGGACAAGGTCTCGTGGGGGAATTTAACCCAATGCTCCACCAACTGAGCCACTGTTGCCTCTTCAATTAATTCTGTGAATGTTGATAATAATGAACATACATAAATACATTAACTTACATGCACACACCCACACACACACCTACACCTACGCACACAGACCCAAACACTCTCTGACCCTACACCTATTCTTCGCTCTGTGGCCTTCTTCAGCACTTTTTTCATGCAATTAGGTTTGTGTTACTTTTGTCGATAAAGCGACAAAAGTAACTGTAATTGTAAGTAATTGCCAAAGCCTTTGTGTAAGTCAAAAAATTGATTTCTATCTTCATTTTGTGACGCAAAGCCAAATATTCCTCTTGTGCTGCGTTGGTTTCACCCAGTTTTATTATTGTGCAGGAAATGGTTTAAGGACCAAGTTATTTGCTGCTCCACATCCGACAGTAACAAAGTGAAACTCTCACACCGGCTAAGTGTCAACAGAGACTGGGCACAATTAAGAACAGAGGCCGTGTCCTCCAGTCTGTGGTTGACACCTCTGAAGAAGTCAAAGAATCAAATTCTGGACTCATTAATTTCATAAAACAGACCACAAGCTGTCAATTAATTCTGTGCAGAAATAACTGAATTGTTGCATGAGTGTACATGTTGATAGTCCAGGACCAGTCTCTGACCAGTTCAGGACCAGTCTAGGATCAGTCTAGGAACAGTCAATGATCAGTCTAGGACCAGTTTAGGACCAGTCTAGGAACCGTCGATGATCAGTCTAGGACCAGTCTAAGATCTAGGAGGCGATAAGTCTATAAACTATATTTAGAAACAGAAAAAGTCATGTTTTGAAGACCAAAAACCATACATAAGCAGACTAATTACACTTCCAAAACAAAAAGCCATCAAATTGACTGCTGGGTTGACTGCTGGATTGACTGCTGGGAATCCTAATGTTAAAATGAACTAAAGTTTTAATATAACATGTAAAAAAAAGATTTTCTTGAATGTGAACCTATTTTCTGCCCAGTCTGAGTCAAAACAAGGAACAAAAATAAAACAAATTGCTATCTCCTTTTTGTGAGATAGAGTACATTACAATGTTTTGCGGTGTGATTTTGTTATTCAGAATGGTTGGTGCATATGAATCAGGGCCCAGTGGCTGCCTGCTGCCTACTGCCTGCTGCCTGCTGAACACTAGTGCATGAAGCAGACTCTGTGTTGTAGCCTCACGCTGAGCTCCTGCCCCGACACAACGAGGAGCTTTTCCAAAGTGAGCATTACTGTTCCTTTCACTCTCTGACATCAGCCACACGCACTTTTGATTCTCCCAGGTTTTCAACAAAGCACAACAAACTCTAAACTCCTAAACTTGAAATAATTACAATATTTTAAATTATAGAAAATATTGCATAAGTGATGAAACACAGACAAACGTTGAAGATGAATATAGCTTAGTCTATGTTTTTCCGTAACTCCAATGAATGTATCTACTGTATTTCACAAGGATGGAGGACAGGGAGGTACTGTGAACTGGAGCATACAGAGGAAACCTCCGCAAACACAGGGAGTAATAACTCCACCTGCAGTTAACAATAGGACTCCCAGAATTCTGAAAATAGTAGAATTCCCAGAGCAGTTAAAAAAAGTGTGTTTTATTTTCCACCAGTTATAATAAAAGTAGGTGATTTATAAAGTTTTTTACCATAGTCTGTAAATATCAAGGGCCGTATTGATGCCTATTTCCCCAATTGAAATGAATGTATGTGTTACGGACATGGGCGGTCTCAAAATGGCCGCAAGAAGCCCCTTCTGCAGGAAAATTGTGAAAAAACACTTTTAAAAAGAGGAGGCTGTATCATGTGCGCATTGGCCGGCAGATACTGGCTGCCTCACTTCTGTCAATGTGCCCCAGGGCAGCTGTAGCTACAGTAGTTATGACATGTGTCTTTGAGTGTCCAAAAAAGGCGCTGCATAAAATCAATCCATTATTTTATAATTATTATTTTTATTACTATCAATATTATTATTGCTATTATTTGTGCCAGAGGAGGATATCGTGGCAAAGCACAAATGCACTAGTGAAATAAAAGGATCAGGCTGCATGGTGTTTGTGTGTCCCTGTTTGCCACAGCAGACTTGATGAAAGCAGATGCTGCATGTTTGGAGTGCTCTCCGGGTGCAAGGATCTGTCAGGTGCAAAATTATACATGCTAATATAGTCAGCTCTTTGCTCAGCGTTTTTGGGAAAAGGACTGCAGCTTCACATTAAATCCCCACATTATCACCATTAGACAGTACTTCTGCAAACTGGCACGTAAACCACAAAACAAACATTGGATAGAGCAGGCAGCAGGCAGTCATTACCACATCTGTGAAACTGTGCTTCTGAACCAATAATATCAATGACAAGAGATGTTAGCTTAAAGTCGGACCGCAGAAATGTCACTTAAATGCTAAGATTAACATAGAGATTTAAATGCCAGACTGTGCACTGCGTAAATCAGCATGGATTTCAGAACCAGAATAAAGTCTCCTATAGTAAAACTTTATGGTTTTGATGTTTTATGTATTTGCTAGATAACACACAATAAGAATTATAATTTATACAATGAAGTGCACATGGAAAAGACCCTTTAGACTTAGACTTAGACGGACTTTATTGATCCACAAGGGAAATTGTATTGTCACAGTATAGCATAGTTGCATAGTATTCCACAAAAAATAACAATGAAAATAACAAATTAAACAACCTGAAAATAAGAATAAGAATAATAAGATACTATTGTGAGAATAGAATGATATGGCTATAGGTACTCAGGAATAAACATATCTGTTAATATGTACACATTTACAGTTTAAAATAGTGGATAACAGGATAATACACATATATACAATATATACAAAGTGGTTTGGATTCATGATTTGGTCAGTTGTGTATAATATTGTATTTTAGATATTGAGAATTTAAATATATAATACATTATATATATATATATATATATATATATATATATATATATATATATATATATATATATATAAGGGGTAGAAAAATGAATGAATGGATGAATAAAATATATGGTTAAACAAGTATGATGGGTATAATACTGTATATATTGGTCTGCCCTAATCCTATGCTACCACCAGAGAGAGGAGTCAATTGTATTTGGATCTCTGCTAGTGTACAAGTATCTCCACGACCTCACACCAAAGACATCATATGAACCAACTCGGACTCTGAGGAGCACAGGGACTAGCCTCCTGCTGGTGCCCACAGTCAGAACTATACAGTTCCTTTTAGCTGTGCATACAACTCAGGGATTTAATCTTCACTCTTTTTTATGTACAGTGATTATTTATGATGTAAACGCTTTGTGTTATTCTTTCTATCTTGTTTCCTTAAGCACTTTGAGTCGCCTTGTGTATGAACTGTGCTATATAGATAGACTCACCTTGCATTATGTGTCCTGTAGGCATGAAATAAACAATCTAAAATATCATAGTGAGGCGTGAGGCTTCCAGTGGAGACCCAGCGGAGCGTGAATAAAGAGGAAGCTCACGTCTCTGATTTGTCCAGTCCATGTTTACTGCCGCTGTCCAAACTCTGCCCTGCTTTGACTTTTTTGTGGTCATGCTGTGAAAACATATGAGTCAGAGTGAACCGCATGGGCCTTGTCTGTAACAATACCACTGCACGAAAAGGTCACGTTTGTAACTACCACAGCTTCACACAAGCAAAACAAACCAAATGTATAGCGTAATTAGCACAGGATGTTTTAATTACAGCGGCACGGTAACACAAACTCGGGGGCTATGCGAACATGGCATGGGTACAAATTCCATCGCAAGTGTTACTGTGAGAAGCAATCTGGACGGAGAACGTAATATGGCAGATGTTAGAAAAGCTGGTGGATATACTGCCTTACTTGAGGGATACCAATAAGTGTTCACATTATCAAACAGTATCAAATATCTGCTCACACAGAGCAGATTTTTGTCTTTTCAAAAAATTGTCACCAAAGGTTTTATACACATGGCTGTGTTTGCAGCTGGTAATATTCAAACTTGGCAACAAAAAAATAAAGACAAATTCTACTCATCTCTCTGGTGGTAGCATGGGGAGATATGGGCTGCCACTAGCTACATATGAAATGTTTCTTCTCCATGTTTAGTCCTGACTCTGGGCACCAGGAGGAGGCCAGTCCCTGTGCTCAGAGTCCCCGTAGGAGGCCAGTCCCTTTGCTCCTCAGAGTCCAAGCTACAGAATTATAAGAGAGCAGCCACAGTTAAGATCTGTGCAGTAAACTTACAGAGTTTATTTTATTCCCACGTTTGTGATGTTGATCTGTAATATGTCACTTGAGGTAAAAGAGCGAGAGAAGCCAACACACAGGTCTGTTTTTCAATCAAATCATGAGACATTTAAGCAAACGATGACGGGAGGCTCCCGTCTCAAAGCCACAGAGGGCATTATTTCAAGGATACACCTCTCCTGCTGTTTCTCGAATGGACCGCTTACAAATGTCCCCTATTTACACCAACACAGCTTTGGCCATTATTAAAGTGACAGCGAACAGACCCCAGTACTCCCCTGGACCACAGCAAAAACATCCAGCATCTGAAAAATGAGTTGTCGCCCGAGGCAGCGGGTCCATGTTCGAGCACATTCTGAACTTTTTATATTTTGGATGCCTGTTTATTCTTGTTTCATCATTGAGAGAACAAAACAGAGTGTTTCGTCTTCAGGGTGAAGAGAAAGGTGCATTCCCATTTTGACGCTCTTACGGAGATGTTTCATCTGTCGCATGTTATTTTAATTCCTGATTTGTTCAAGGGTATGACTTACATGTTTTTGAGGCATGGTGAGGAGATGTAGATGTAGATGTGCAATATAAATCAAAACAGATGTTTCTGATCAGTGAGAAGAGAACTCTCACTGCTTATATTCCGTGTTGCCAGTCTATTCCCTGCATGTACAACCAGCTGCTAATTATGTTGTGAAAATGTCTGTATGGAATATTTGCTGGGTTATAAATGGATTCATACTTATTTTATAATAACTATGATTTAATGTATTCCAATTAAATTTATCCTAGTATAAAAAAATCACATTAGTTATCTCAGAGGACTATACAAATCTGTTGATTTGCCAACACAGATCAGAGAATAAAACATTTCAGGGGTAGATGACCAATGTTTGCCAAAAAAAAATTACGTAAATAGACAAATCAATGCTGCCACACTGGCTTGTCCCTCTACTCTGATCTCCTCCGATCAGTGCCTGAGCTCAACAGCAATCAGCCTCAGCTGCTCAGTAACACACCTGTGCTCATCACTTCATGGCTGCATTCAAACAGAGCCTCTCAATTCTCTCCAGCTCAAGCTGCTGGTTGAGCAGCAACCCACCTCCTCCCCATCACCACCTCTTCAGTGGAGTATCATGTCATAGTGTCATGAGCTTGCGAACCGGGGGCTTATCACTAAATATACTAGTACTCAATCTAAGTGTTGCTGGATCATGCATCTTGACAACATTCTAATGCAATCTTTGTTGAGTTTTTCCAGGTTGAAATAAAGTTCACAGCATTAATAGAATACTGACTGCTGGAGAAAAATGCTGAAGGTGTACCATTAGTAGAACTGGTCAGCGGCTTCAAGCAAAAAGAAAAACAAACAAGCAAAATGTAATTACTTCAGAAAAAGGAGTGTCTGAAGAAACGTCTGGGGACTGAAAGATCACTTTATCGATAGCTTCATGCTAATGCTTTTGGACAACTAGTCTAACTATTTCAGGTTATAATAGTGCATGGATTTTATAAACTGTAGTTTTTTTTGGACACTCAAAGATGCTTCACATGTCATTATTCAATCTCTCTTTACAGCGTTAATCATTCACTTGTGCCTGCCAAAACATCACTCTACCTCTTCCAAAGTGGCCACTCCTGCTGGATCAGTAATATATATTTTTATTTTCACAGATTCCCCAAGTGAGCTACGCCTCCACCGCGCCCGAGCTCAGTGACAACACCAGATACGACTTTTTCTCCAGAGTGGTCCCCCCTGACACGTACCAGGCGCAGGCCATGGTGGACATCGTGAAGGCCATGCGCTGGAACTATGTGTCTACGGTGGCCTCAGAGGGAAACTATGGGGAGAGTGGAGTGGACGCTTTCATTCAGAAGTCCAGGGAAGACGGTGAGTGGATTTTTCCCTCTAATCTAAGTCCTGTGTGAATGCATATGCAACACTCAGACTCTGAATTCTTAAAACTACTAAAACTCCAAGAACCATCGTATAAGACTGGCTCGCATTTCTCTATCTGACAGATCGACCAAAGCGTTCGCAGATGACTTTTGCATGGCACGGTGTTGTACATTTAATCAATGCTACTTAAAGCTACTTAACACTCATTTCATGCAATACAGTTCCACTTAACAAGATCCTGGCTGTTGGTTCTTCACTACTTTTTTTCATGTAATTCTGGCCTCCGTCACATCTTTTGATCCAATTGTCGAGACAATAAAGTGTAGCCACAAATATGCAAATCATGACTTGTTTTGGGTTGACTTTATAGATCTCACACAGGAGAAATGTCTCCTGTGTGAGATCAATGAAGTCTATCTTATCTCTTGATGATTTCATGTCGAGGTCTAGTTTTCTCACAAAAAAACAACACAGCATTAACATTAAGAGATCCTTTATTTGTCTCCCAGTTGGGAAATTTCAGGGTTACATCACCGGGAATGAAGAGCACACAATACACACAATACAAGATACTTGAACAATAACCCTTTACTGAAATCAAATTGAATCTCAAACTTCAGCATAATAAATAAATAAAATTCAGTTTATTCCATTGCAGAAATATATAGTTGTATGTATACATTTGTTAGCAGCATGAGGGTCTGGGATACCGGGACTCAGTAAAGTGACAGTGGACACAGAGGGTTTCGTTACACATTCTGACACCATAGGAATCCATATCTCCTAGAAAGATTTCACTAGGACCAACTTTATTCTTTTATTAACACAGTATACGGACAAACGCCTCTGCCATGTTTCACTTGCGTTCATTAGTATTCTGAGAGTGACATTGATCACTTGAGTGTGCACTCCTCACATAGCAGGGCTCTGACAGATGCCTCAGTGTGTCGTACAGCAGACTGCCCTCTCATCGTCTTCTCACAGCCGGATCTGACACGTCGTTTCATTTAGACGTAAATGTGAGTCCGGCTCAGTTATTTTCAGAACGCAAAAACCCATTTGCCAAAAAAAGACATTAGGTTTTGACGTAAAGGCACATTAACATCCTAGCACTTTAACACTTGGACTCCCAGAAGTAAGAAACACCTAGAGCCGTCATTTTGACTGCTCCTATGACTGTTTAATGGGATTCTGAAACGTTCGTGAAAGTAACCATCAAATTCAGTAAGTGTGAAAACTGGTGAATATAACACTAAATACAATAAAAAAACAGTGTGTTAAAAGACTAAACTCCAACTGGTTGTGAGTTAGCAGTATGTTGCTATGGTTAATACAGGATGAATTTTGATATACACATGACACACACAGCTAAACAGAACAATTTTAACATGGATTTGAACATTGTTAGAGAAGAAGCTTTTCTCAGGATTTTCAGGAGGACTATTCCATGTTTTAACTGCTCCTCAGAGTCCCAGCAGGAGGCCAGTCCCTGTGCTCCTCAGAGTCAGAGTTGGTTCATATGGCACTAACATGTCACCGATGTAATTTGGTGCAAGGCCATGGAGAGACTTGTACATGAGCAGAGATGCTTTAAAGCTGGGGTACCTAACTAGTCTTGTAAAAGTAAAAGGTTGGGAACAATCAGACCCCCACTTGCCATCTGCATCTTCTAAGACTTTTGCATTCTTATCTTTCTTTATCTGTGTTTATATACCGCCTTTCACAAACCAGAGTCACAAAGCGGTTTACAATTTGGTGTTTTTTTTGGGCATTTTCTCACTCCACACAGAGATGGGAGCAGGGTCGCCAGTACAGGAGGCGCACCGCACAGCTCTCAGACCCTTTGGTCTGAGAGCTGATTGGCTGAGTGCGTGTCCTCCTCTGTTTCTCACATTTCTGTCTGAAAAAGCTGATCTAAAAGATGTGACAAAAATACATGCAAAACATGTGACAGAACCAAACTCTGATCTAATTTTACTACAGCTAATGTTTTGTAGTTTAAAAGCTCGTTACCCCTACTTTTAAAGCACGTTACCCCTGCTTTTAAGTCTATTCTCTGCAGCACGTGAAGCCAGAGAGCTCGGCACATGTAAGCCTAACGTGAGTGTACTTTCTGACAAAGGCTGCTTTGAAATGATTTATCATGTAGTAACAGAAAAGTATGAAAATAAATTGTAAGTGCATCCACTCTCCACTATGAAAATGGAAAAAAAGTCTTCCATTTGGCTTGATTTCAAAGACTCTTTATTGATGTTTATCTCCGTACAACACATTACCCCTTCCAAGGGTATCTCAAGGAGCATAAGATGTTCTGGTGCAACTCTAATTAAAAATATGAGGCTTTGGGGGGCTCTGGTCACGTCGCGGCTGTCCACTGTCCCTCTGTTCCTGGGTGGAAACAGGCAGACTTGGCTGGGTCTGAATACTTCATCGTCTGGACAGGAGTCAGGGGCAGAAATGGGTGAAATGAATACTGAGTAGATCATAATAGTAGCTCCCCTGAGACAAAATAATAAGATTTGCATTTCATTAGATCAAGTGAAAGTCCTCCACAAGAAACAATATTAGGTCAAGACCAATATTCTTGGACAGTGATTGGATGTCAGAAGACAACACTGAATGTGAATACCTCAAAATAGTTCAGTGTTGAGTTTAATTTGCTTAATTCTGAAAAAAACAAAAACAAAGTCTGTGTAGAAACTATAAACAAATATGTTTAATTTGGTTTGTAGAATTTAGTAATTGCTGCACTGCCAAAAGTTATGGAAAATAAGTACATCATTGCTAATATTTGGCATAATGTATACAATTCAAATTGCCTTAAAAACAATTTTCAAATGGGACAAAAAAAATGACATGTCTCCCTGGGAATGAGAACATAAAACAACACTAAATGGCTTTGTCCCACTAGCAAATCTTGTTTTAACACAGTCAGAATGTACTCAAAATAAGATAAAAACCACTTGATACACAACATTTTCCCTTGTATGTTATAATTTTTTGCAGGGTCTCTTATCTCTCCATAAACATCAGTGAAAGAATGAAAGCCACAGCTCTTGTGTATTCAATTCAAGGTATTCTTGTACAGCCCCAAATCACAAGTCTAACACTAACAGGCCCTCCTGCATCTGCAAGGAAAAACCCAGTGGGAGAAAAGATGGACACCTCCACATTGAGAGAGGGAGCCGCTCCACACGGAAGGACGGGCTGTAGATGCAGGACCTAAGCTACAGAACAAGGGCCAAGGCCGGACTGCAGGACTGAAGCAGCTCCCAGGCGGGTCGGGCAGGGCAGTCCGCGGGTGTAGATGGAGGGGACCGGGTTCAGAGGTCCCGTTGTCACGCCATGAAACAGACAATGGGACAATAGGTGAATACCAATGAACAGACTACTGTCAAAATCCTAATAATGCAAACAGATAAAGTAGGAAGGAGAAGATGGTGCTCAAGTTACCATACGTCTCCCAGCAAACTGACTCCCTACGCAGCTTGACTGACAGTCTAAGATTTGTAGTCTTCCCTGAGTCTTACCTTCTACCCATATACTGAATTAAACAGGACCGTTTTAAGCCTGGCCTTGAATGTTGAGACCATGTTTGCTTCCTTGACGTGGACGGGAAGCTGATTCCACAGTAAAGGAGCTTTGGACATTTATCAACATTCATGGACATTTGTCTCTTCCTATGGACCAATACATTTGTGCTCTATTTTATTTTTTCCTTAAGTATTGATTTTCTGATCTGTGTTGTGATTTCAATGGTTAGTCCTCTGAGATGACTGCTGTTTTGATTTAGGGGTATACAAGAATAATTTGTATTGTATTATATTGTATTGGTAGCTAAAGGTTCTGCCAGCGACAGTGAGACCCAGTAACATTGCTTGCTGTTACTGGGTCTAAAATGTGTGAATTGTTGTGGAATTTTCTTTGGAAGTATGGTCACAGATCCTTTTTGAATAAGCGCTCAGCATGTTCGCTTTGTGCCATATGTTGATTTTTTTCTGAATATTCTATACTTTATTTTATCCAAAAATGTTTCCTCAAATGCAACAAACACATTTCTATCCAAGGCCTTCACAGTGATTATTAGTGTTGTGCAAGTTACTTCAAGAGCATAATGAGTTACTTGTTACTGCTATTTCAAAGTAATGTGTTTGACTACAATATTACTGTCTCTGAATTGTAAAGCATTACACTACTACTGCATTACTTTCACCAAATATATAAACATGCAAACTAAATGTAGCTTATAATGCTATTGCGTGAGGTTGATGGAGCTTTTGTTCTCACATATAATGTGCATGCACTGAACTGTTATGTTCCACATCTTTGTCTCCAACAAACTCTAAATAAAGGGAGTCTGTCCATCTATAAAATGTACTTTGTCGACCTTGTGCCTGTTTCAGCTTCAGCTGCAGCCATCTTCTACAAGAAAGGAAAACACTTCAAGATGGTTTCTAATGAAGCAGATTTGTTCTTCTGCTGATCTCGTGGTGGCACAATATAAAGGCTAAACACTATTTTGTTTTGGCTTAAAATATAATTAAAATATTACCATGTCTCTTTTTAGAAATGCCTTACATCACTGCGTTACAGCAAAAATCCATACATTACAGTAATTAGTTCAGTTCAGTTCAGTTCAGTTCATTTATTTGCCATTTGCAGTATAAAACCACATTGGAATACATTCCACATTGGAATACATTACTTACAATACAATTACATTACTTTTGTAGCGTGTTACTCCCAACACTGGTGATTAGACATTATGACAGAACAAAATATGAAAGTCATGTATACAGGGAAAGGTCAAAGCACTAAGGTGCTGTATAGAAGTCACAACATTCCAAAGTGCCTATAGGTTAATACTGTGGTAAAGAGGAGCTGAACAATTGTTCTTGGTATGTGTGGTATTTCTATTTATTTTGTAATTATATAATAAATAGAAAATGTAATTAATTATAATAGAAAATCCACACCATGACACTTGAAGA